ACACACACACACACACACACACACACACACACACACACACACACACACACACACACACACACACACACACACACTGTTGGTTGTTCTACGCTCATGAGGACTTTGCAATGACTTCCATTCATTTACTTGTCATGTCTATAAACTAACCCTGACCTCTTACACTTAAACTCACTTCACATCTTAGTCCTCAGTCGAAGCCCATGGGGACCGGGCTTTTGTCCCCATAAGGCACAGTGGGACCCCATCAGGGGAAATGGTCAAAAAAATGCAAAATCGTCCCCACCAGGCAACAAAAACACGCACGCGCACACACAGAGGGGGGAGAGAGGGAGACGTCTGCAGCGTTTTTCCGCCAACAGGACAAGATTCAAACGGGATTCATCAGCTGCGGAGAGACAGAGGGAGGTAAACAAGACCGCTTCTCCCCCGGGACTTCATCAACACACTGTATGTGTGTGTTTTCGTGTAGGACGCACTGATTTAGTGAGCAGCGCGAGCCTGAAGTGCCTCTCCGTGTTTCGTCCTTCCTGGCTGCCCGAGGACGGGACGTTTGGAGCGGAAAGAAACGCGGCGGTCATGTTCCGGGTGTCCACCGGGACGCGTCTCCTCCTGGAGCCGTGCGGGTCTCACGCCGGGGGACAGTAGTCCAGTCCGCTCAGCTGGTGACCGTCGGGATGCCCGCGAGGAACAGGTACAACCTGGTGGACGACGTGGCGGACTCCCGGCTGCCGCTGCACAACGAGGAGGCTTACCAGCACGGCATTTCTTTCCAAGCCAAGGTGAGATATTTATATGTATATTTGTTTCTTTTGAGTTATTTCACTATGAAGTATATTTTCTCAGGGTTTCAGTGAGCTGCTGCAGTGGCAGGTGCACCGGACCCTGCTCCTGCTGCGGGTCCAGTTTCAAGTTTGAACACATGGCAGCCCCCCCACCATGCAAGTTCATCACACAAGTGTTGGTTTGGTTTAAACCTCTCAGCACTGCGGAAGTTTTAAGTAATCCCTTTATTGCTTTATATTTTTGCTTAGCAAGAATACTTTCTTTTCATATTTTAAAGTAGTCTTATAACCTGTAGTTCTTGTGACTTTTTGTAGTTCTTGGGACCTTGGCTGCTTTTTCCACTCATCCAGGGCAGTTCTTGACCACTTTCATTCTGATGTTTGTTTTGTAAGCCATTGGTTTAATATATGAATCATTCATTTGCATAAAAAGCCCCCACCCCCCAAGCTAGACAATTAACCAAGGGCCAGAAGTGGGCCATTTCCCCCTTCAATCTGGCCTTCAGTGTAAACTAACCAACACAAGTGACCATGACTAAATCAGGCCTACACCTTTCTAGGATCAAGCCTGAAATTAAAGTTGACACTTTGCGAAGAAGTCAACATTGCCTTTGCTGTCAAGTTTAGTTTAGAATGACCCAGCGCACAGGCAGAGTTCAGGTGTAACAAAAATATGGTCTTTATTAAATCAAAAAGCTGACAAGGCGGCTGAAAAACTCACTTGAAGGACGTGGCGAAAAAAAAAACTACATGAAACATGAAAAATGAGACAAGCTTTGCAGCACAATGGGCCTCATGCAAGAACATGTTCGTATTCTTATCCTAAATTTCTCTTACTTTTGTTTGTACAAAGGGTTCGTACGAACATGCCACGTCAGATTCAACAAACTCCTCTATCTTCAGGAAAAGTGTGTAAATGAGCTGCGTAAATTCCACCTGTTCTATCCAGCTGCTCATGCACGCGAGAGGAGATTAGCATAATTACCACCCCAAAAACACCATATAAGGCTATGTTTCCTGCCTCAGATATCAGGAAGTGTTCATTCATGAAAATGACAGCGTAAACTAAAAAGAAAAACTTTACGAGTTCAGAGGTTGAAGTCCGTCTGTCAGAGATCCAGAAAAGAAAATCTGTCATTTTTAGCAGGTCAGCTGTGGAATAAAAAGAGCTGCTAAAAGTATAAACAACTGTGTTAAATCATTATTTATTCAGAAGACACAGCGTTGCGCACCGTACACCCCCACCCCACCTGCGTGGTTGCAGGTGGTCTCAGATGCGGGTTTGAAATAAGCATTTTAAAATATTTTCAAAATAAGTCTGGCACTTTGGAGAAAATCCAGGACTTGCTGGAGGGATTATGTATCCCCTCTGGTCTGGGAATGTCCCGGAGTCCGCCAGGACGAGCTGGAAAGTGTCGCTGTGGAGAGCGGGGTCTTTCTGCTGTTGCCCCCGCACCCGATCCCGGATAAGCCGGACGGACAATTTATATTGTTAGTCTCAATTATTACATTTAAAATTATAACTCTAATTCAAGCAGAATAGCCTATTGTCAACATAATTATGGAGTGTGATTTATTTTCAACTTAAAATATCTTCAAACTAACGAAATATAAAGTTATTAATGAAGAAAACCCGTCTGGATAACAGCAGACTGACTGTTCGTAAAATATACGACAGGTCTGGACCACTCGTGAATTTTGTTCGTATCTGAAAAAAATCTTAGAAAACGAAAACATTGGTGAATGCCACAAATTCTCCTAAATCACTCGTACGCACAACTCAAGAACAAATCTGTGCGTACGAACGGTTCTTGCATGAGGCCCAATGATCCCACAATGACACAAAGACAGGACAGAGCTTAAATACACAGAACAACTAAGGAGGGAACAGAAAACACCTGGGGAGACAAAGACAACACTAATTACAAGAACTGAACACACCTGAGACAGAAGGAAACTCRAACAGAAAACCACATGAACAAAACAGAAAACAAAAAACCCAAACTATAACACTTGCATGCAAACTTTTAGAAAAACAATCTGCTCAGATATTCTGGCTGTGACTCTAATCTACTTCCTTATACCCATATTTAGCTGAATATGTGGACAACCAATAACGTTATAGCCATTTTTATGTAAGCAGAGCCTGATATTTTAAATGTTGCCTTTTAATGGATATTATATTTGACAGATCCATGTGATAAACTCTGCTCTTGGTTTCAGACCAGAACATTCTGGAAGAAATTGTTGCCCACCCATATAGCAGGCGATAATGTATTTGTCTATTTTGTTGAATTTTAACCTATAGAAATTTTTTTTTTGAAATTTAATAATTTGTCGACTTTTCGTATGTCTACATAGATCAAGATGCAAGTAGGGAGGTACCGATCCAGATTTTTTTGGCTCCCTGTCTGATACGTATATTTTCAAAGCATTAAAAAATGTGACCAGTATTACTTAACATATTTTATTTTGCTTATTTATTTGTTATAACATGACTAACAGTGTTGCTTGCCTTTTTTAACAAACCTACCCTGAGTCTGAGACTTAAAAAATAAATAACCCACAGATTAAAAAGTAAAAAAAATAACAACAACATGTAGCTATCTGAGGTCAACATTCTATATTAAAAGCGTCAAAGGTAGGGACAGCAACAACAAAAAACTACCGTTTCCAAAATGTGACCTGCTGTGCTAAAGTTAAGAGTCCACAGCTCCAATTTTACTGACTGTGCCCAAACCAGTCTAATGGTCTTTCATCATAGTGTAAAGAAAATAAATTTGTCACACTTATAACAATAGCAAAAAAAAAAAAACAAAAACAAACAAAAAAACCCCAAATGATAAATTGTCACTAAACTAAACATAGAGCAAACTTTCAGCTCCATCTTCACTCTCTGCAGTCTGAGCATGATGTGATGTTTTTTTAAAGGAGACCAATTATGGGTCCTATAAATTTTTTTATGGTATATCTGTGGGCTATCCAGACCATGTTCATTCAATTTAATGCACAAAATAATTCTCAGATAATAAAATTTCCCATTTTCTTGCTCTGCCTGCTCTGACTTCTGTTCAGAAGAGCTGTTTATGTTAATGAGCTCTGTTGGTAACGCCCTCCAAAAATCTGTTGACATTAACTCCGCCCTCCAAAGCCAGCGTTTACGTTAGCATGGCTAATAATAGCAGAAGCTCCGTTGTACAAACATATGAGAGACCCAGAGGCAGAGTCGTGGTCACAGCTTCTTTTTTTCCTCCCTCCTCTGCTCTGCGCTCACTCTGCATGCTGTTACCAGAGCAGGGAGCAGCAGCGGTCAAAATACCTCAGAAACTCAAACAAATAGGCTTTAATAAGGCTTTAATAAGCTAAACAATAGAGGTACATGAGAAAACGTGTTCATTACGAATGAAAACAAATAAATAATTAAATTGTGTCCATGCCGGTCTCAAACCCTGGTCTCCTGCTCTCTGGTCCAACACTCTACCCATTGTTCTATAGGAGGCTTGATGTGAAATGAACACAGTGACGGCTTTTTATACTGAGGAGGTGGAGCCTCACCCAGGGGTTGCTAGGTAAGGGGCTGAACGCAGGTTCCGGTGGGTTGTCGTACGGCTTGTGACATCACAAAATGACGGAAGTATAAAACTTGTCGTTAATATACATTAAAAATACATTTATTTACAGTAAATATGCCCCTGGGTGCATTTCTTTTTGGCTCTGTAGTGATAAATCCCAGGTTCTGTGCCACCACACAAAACTTGGGCATGACAAGTTTAGAACTCAGCTGCAATGTCTTTTTCAGACTTGAATGAAAAATACAGCCACACTGCTGCCATCACTCCTTGCTACTCAGTTAGCACAGTGTGTTGTTGTGATCAAGGTGCTCAGCTTGCTGGATTCAAGCGCTACTGGAAAGAAATGCTGGAGCAGACTGCTTGTATGGGAGTGCTTATACCGTTGATTTTAATCCGATGCACGGTTTTTGGCTGATATTGAATTGGTATCCTAGATCAATATCGGATCGGGACACTCCTAAGCTGAAGGTAACTTGACTGTGGTATAAAACTGAAATATGTGCCTGGAAAATACACAATACCCCTCTTTAAAGCAACATAAGAAATAACTCTTTGGAAATAAAATGCATAAGAGTGATTTAAAACCTTATCTTAGTATCGTAAAACACAGTTGATCTGAATGATTTATTTTTTTATTTATTTAGCCTTGATGTCTGAATTTAATGAACATATTGTGGTATAGCACAGTCCCTCTGTGGACAATTTCCTGTATGATAGGGCTGTGAATTGGCAAGAATTTGGTGATATGATACATATCATGACACGGGTCTGATCTGATATATTGCCATTTTTTCCCTCCAAAAATGATAATTTAATAAAACTCAGCATGTTTTATATGCATTTATCTTTCTTATTTCATCCATGTTGTCAGTGGTTGGGTTAAATGTGCCATTAAATACAATCTAAATACACATTTTCTTTGTTATTAGACACTTAGAGGCACAGTGTGTAGGATTTGTTGTTTTCAGCGACATCTAGTGGTTGAGTGGTTGAATCATCCTCCCTGGTCCTCCCCCCACCCCCACCCCCGCATTCAAACACAAAGGAGTTGCTACGGTGTCTCTCAGGTGTCAAAAACCTTTGATAATTCCAACCGTGATGCAGCTTCAGGGCTAGTGATGTTTCAAGTGGTAAGATTATGAGCTTTAATAAGTAAAATTATCCCAGCTACAATGACAGACAACAAACATTACATTTATAGTATTACAACTAAAACCGTTTTTGACGCCGCCACCGCAGTTTGTCCTTCATGAGCCTTTGTAGAAAAGATGGCGGTGCAAGATGACGGCTGCYTGTAGTGGCGACCCGCGACCATGGAGATATAAACAGCTTTTTATAAGGTAAAAATAATAAAACAAGGTCTTTGTCTGCAATGATTAGACATGTTTTTTATTATTGTCATTAGTGATTATCTCAATTTCGGCTAAAAGAATTGACAAAATCGTACACACTGTGCCTTTAGGTCTGAAGAGACATAAAATGATCTGACATGGTACTTTTGTCTTGTCAGCGCCATTAGTTTGATAATATATTTGTGGCAGCTTTTTCATTGAGAACGAACTGCTGGCATGAAAGTTTACATTTTAAACTTTAATTTAAGATGTATACACTGTTTTAGAGAATCAACACAGTAAGAAAGTGAAAAATATTTCAGTATATTGATATTTTCTTGCACCCCATTGTATGAACTTGAAAATGTTGTAGTTTTTGCACAGTTAAATGTCTTATGTGGAACTTTCCACGCTTCCTTATTTGTTTATCTTAACCTAAAAGTTTTATACAAACGATATATTTTGTATAAAACAGTAAAACAGGTTTGTGTCGATTGTTCACACGTCTTCTATCTTGAGCTGTTTACCAGGAAACTGGAAGAGTTAAAACGAGGGAGTGTTTCTGCTCCAAAGTTCAACCACCAGGATGTTCGTTTTATTTGACCTACTTTTTATCTACTTGGGTTTTTATTATAGTATTTCACAGAAACTTATTGTTCCATCTCAAACCATGAATACAACAAAAACCACGGGGTGCAGTAATAACGTGCAGCCAGCCACTGAACTCAGTGTGAGCTCATGAATGAATGAAGCTGTAAAAGTGCAGACGGTATGTCGCTAAAACCAATCTAAAACGTCAGAGCCACAGCTGTTTCCTTGCTAAGTCAGTGGTAGAGATTTTTTACGCTCCCAGTCCATTTACTGTAATCTAAATAACGGCAGCATCAAAGGCTCCCCTGGAGCTCCTCATGAATGTAGATGTATGCGAGCCGCGCACAGCTTCCTAATGAACCAGAGCAGCATCGTCTTCATTATGTGAAAGGATCTGTTCTGAAATAGAAATGCTGCGGTTGCCTTGTTTCAAGTTTCAAGCTTGTTTTGCTTTGCAGCGGCTGAAAATGAATCAGCCCCAGGTGGTGATTCAGGAGGGTCGGGACAAGTTGTGGGCGGGTGTTTACTTTTTTTTTTAGGAAGGGTTCATTGCTTAAATGATTGCTTGAAGTTTCACCTAAAGGTGCATGGGTGGTCCTCAGGGTGCCACTGTTTATTTAGTGGGAACTATGAAGACAAAAGTTTTAATCAGGTAGAGAGACATTGGAAATATACACAAGTGGTTTTAACCATAAAATTGCTAAAGCAATAGATTTAAAACAAATGTTCACAGAAAAGTTTATGAACAAGGACTATTGTGTGTTGCAGATGCAGCTATTCAAACTGGGTTGATCAGCTGATTGCTCATCTGAATGGGGCCAAGATCAAAGTGGATTGCTTCCATTTTGGAAGTCCTGTCTTAAAACTTTCATCGCAGTTCAGGCGATGTATTGCCATTTTTATAAACTATTACAAAGTCTGTCAGTTTTGCTAACTTCATCGTTTATACATAGACTGTGTCTCACTTCAAGGACTACAGCCCACGGAGTGCACATATGTTGGCTGGTTGGTCTTTTTTATGGACTTCTCACGCAGCGACAAATGCAGCACAAAAAACCCTGAACAGAAGGCTGCATCTCATGGCCGACACTATCTCAGGATTCATTGTGCTTTCATCGGTTTTTGCAGAAAACAAAAACACTCGTGGAGTTTGGAAAGTCATTACAGATGGGAGAATTCATTGTTTAGCAACTTCGCTGATGAAGTTTATGCTGTGATGTGATGTTAAATAAACAAATACTGATATAGTTTTTTTAAACAAGTTATACAATGTCATATAATAGACATTTTATAACATTGTATAACAATGAAAATGAAGAGTGAAAGTCACATGAGTAAAAATCTATGGGAGAAACAGAATGCAACATATTAAAAACCTAAATAGCAACTGGAGCCACATTAAATGCAAGCTTCACAATATTATTATAAAGCCAAAGTGCTGATACTGGAGCTATCAAATTATAAATGTCATGTTTAATATTAATTTAACATTTTCAACAATACATTGAATTTTGTGACGTTATACCTTCTTTGAAGGCGTGTGAATACATGTTCCAATGTGTTTTGAGTTTTAGGCATTTATGGGTGATGTGATATACAGCGGGTAAAATAAATACTGAACATGTCAACATTTTTCTCAGTAAATATATTACTAGAGGTGCTAATGACATGAAATTTTCACCAGATGTCGGTAACAACCCAAGTGATCCATACATACAAAGAAATCAAACCATAAATGTCCAGAAATGAAGTTATTTGTAATAACGTGGAATGTCACAGGGAAAAAGTATTGAACACGCTTACTGAAATTTATCTAATACTTTGTACAAAAGCCTTTGTTGTCAATTGCAGCTTCAAGATGCCTCCTGTATGGAGAAACTAGTGGCATGCATTGCTCAGGTGTGATTTTGGCCCATTCTTCCACACAAACAGTCTTCAAATCTTGAAGGTTTGGTGGACCTCTTCTATGAACTCTGATCTTTAGTTCTTTCCATAGATTTTCTGTTGGATTCAGGTCAGGTGATTGGCTGGGCCATTCCAGCAGCTTTAGTTTTTTTCTCTGAAACCAACTGAGAGTTTCCTTGATTTTGTGTTTGGGCTCATTGTCTTGCTGAAATGTCCAGCCACGTTTCATCTTCATCATCCTGGTAGATGGAAGCAGATTTTTATCAAGAATGTCTCTGTACATTTTTCCACTCATCCTTCCTTCAATTATTTGAAGTTTGCCAGTACCATATGCTGAAAAACAGCCCCACACCATGATGTTCCCACCTCCAAACTTCACTGTTGGTATGGTGTTTTTGGGCTGATGTGCAGTGCCATTTGACCTCCAAACATGATGTGTATTCTGGCATCCAAACAGTTCAATGTTGGTCTCATCTGACCAGACTATATTCTCCCAGTATCACACAGGCTTGTTTAAATGTTGTGCAGCAAACTTTAAAGGAACTTCAACATGCTGTTTCTTCAGCAGTGGAGTCTTGCATGGTGAGCGTGCATACAGGCCATGGTGGTTCAGTGCATTACTTATTGTTTTATTTGAAACAATCGTACCTGCTAATTCCAGGTCTTTCTGAAGCTCTCCACAAGTGGTCCTTGGCTCTTGGACAACWCTTCTGATAATTCTTTTCACTCCTCTGTCAGAAATCTTGTGAGGAGCACCTGGCCGTGGTCAGTTTATGGTGAAATAATGTTCTTTCCACTTCTGAATTATGGCCCCAACAGTGCTCACTGGAACCTTCAGAAGTTTAGACATTCTTCTGTAACCGATGCCATCGTGATGCTTTGCAACAATAAGGTTGTGAAGGTCTTGAGAGAGCTCTTTACTTTTACCCATCATCAGATGGTTCTTGTGTGATACCTGGCCATCATTTGGGACTGAACCAGCTGATATTAACTTGCACTGACAAGGGGCAGGCTTGCTTTCTAATTACTGAGAGAGTTCAGCTGGTGTCTTGTCTTTCCATGCCTTTTTACACCTCCCTTTCTTCATGTGTTCAATACTTTTTCCCTGTGCCATTCCACATTATTACAAATAACTTAATTTCTGGACATTTATGGTTTGATTTCTTTGTATGTATGGATCACTTGGGTGTTACCGACATCTGGTGAAAATTTCTTGTCATTAGCACCTCTAGTAATATATTTACTGAGAAAAATGGTGACGTGTTCAATACTTATTTTACCCGCTGTAAAACGGTATATTCAGCCTGCCTGGACTTTAAAGGGTGTGGCCTCCATGGGCTGCAGTCTACATGGACTGCAACCCTTGAATTGCGACACAGCCATTGTTGTTTTTTGCAAACTCAAACACTATCAAAAGCAGCTAACTGTAGCACTTTCTGTTCAGCTTGGGGCACTTCTGCTAGTAATGTGACATGCCTGTCAGAATAACTATGATATGAAAATGACAGCAATTAAAAGGCTTTTTAAATAAAGGAACAGCTATGAAAGTTTTGAAATGGGACTTGCAACTAGCAATCTACTTTGGGCTTGGTTCCACTTGAAGCACTCATTTCTGCTTTAGAAACAACAGTTGATGTGTGTTGATGTGTGTCTTTTCCACAGTATGTGGGGAGTATTGACGTGCCCAGACCCAACAGTCGGATGGAGATCGTGGCGGCTATGAGGAGGATCAGGGTAAGATGACCTCACAGTGGCACATTTCTGTTGTGTGGGAAGATTCAGCAGTTCTTCAGATGTCCTCCGTTAAAGACAACAGGATGAAGGAAATGACCCGGATGCTCCTGGTGTTAAACAGAATTTGATAAAGCCTTTGTGTTAATAGTTTTCACACCCCGCTGCCAAAACGAACCGACGTAAAAAAAAAAAAAAAGGTCGTCGGGCCTTGCACACTCATCCTCCGTCCTTCGGTGATTGCCCTGTGATGGAGGACGGAAACTACTTCTACAATACCACCGTGCTCACACGCAGAATGAAAGGAGTGTGCTGCCGTCAGATGAAATTTATTTTGAGAGTGCAGTGATGCATCGACCGGCCACTGAACGACTCTCGGTGAAAGCAAGGCAAGGCAGAAATAAATGTTTCTAGAAAGGGGTGAGGCACGTGTGCCAGGAAATGCTTATATTTCTTTCAAGTGTGTGTTATAGTTGTCAAAGTTCAACCTGTTCCTTCATTCATCGCACATAGTCAAGCTGAAAGTTTCATCTTTTTTCTTGTTTTGAGTAAAAATGCTGTTTGTAGGTGAGTGCTGCATTGCTTTAAAGGTGTGTCTAAAAGTTGCAATTGGACAATTTCACAAAAGACGTTCCGGCAGACGCCAAACGTGTGCCTGTTTGAGAACGGGGTACGTGCTGTGCAGCCTGGTTCCCAAACGTACAAATGAGTGAAGGGTAAACATGACCATCATGGTGCTGCACAGCTGGACGGCGCTGAGGAGGAAAATGTGTGCGAGTACTCTGTCAGCCTGTTTTAGCATCTGATCATGAAGTTCCCATTTGAAAATACACTTAATCTGTCAGATTGGCTGCTAAATACATATTTAAATAGTTACTTCCTCTAAGATAAAAATGTGTGGAATGATTTTGTTTGGAAAAACTGATTCATACAGCACCTTCCTGGTTTGGTGTTTACATTTTTAGTGTCGTGTGTCTAGTTTAGGACGGCATGTGGCTCAGTTGGTAGAGCTGCTACCTCTCAGCTACAAGGGCCTTCCTGGGTAGAGTTTGCATATTCTTTCTGTGCATGAGTGGGTTTTCTCTGTTTCCTCGGGTTTCCTCCCACAGATCATAAACATGAATGTTAGGCTAACTGGTAACTCTAAATTGCCCCTAGGTGTGAGTGAGAGAGTGACCCAGTGTTCAGTCTAAACAGTTACATGTAAACACACACCTGATGCAGTGTATCACCTGAATTACTTGACCTGGAACTAATTTAGGGCGGAAGGAATTTGCTTTGAAGTCGTCTTCGTTTTTATTAGCTGTTTGCTTGACTGATAACTCATGCTACTCTTTCTTCTGCAGGTAAGATAGTGACTGTTTATAACTCCGCAGAACATTATTTAAAGTTTTTTCCCTGTCTGAGGGCTTGTGCTACACATCCATTAAAAAAGCAGAAAATAGAAAAGCAATGATTATTATTATAATTTTTACTAAACCAAGATGCAACAGGGTTTGTTGGCTTCATGAAGCTTGTTGGTTGGATGCTGTTATCCTTGATGAGTGTCAGTGTACCTGCCTCACTCTGTCTCTGGTCTGTAAGGGTCTGCTGGCTGCAGCTGAATATGTGACGTCCAAATAGGAGAGCGGGATGGATCCTGTCATCTCGCTGGCTCTTGGCAGCACAGCAGCTAAACTCATCTCCCAATGTCCCACTGCTCTTTAACCTAAAAAAATAACTTCATCATCACAATCATCATCATAGTGACGTAAACAGAACCATTAGAAGAACACGACACAACTTTGTATTTTACATGCTTTTTTCTTTATTTATGTTCTGTTGTAACGCTGCTGTTTTATAAAGCTGTTCTCAGTTTTACACCAACACCTATTTTCAGTCAGCCTGTTGCTGAACTCTGTACACTCGCTCCCTTCTTCATCGAGTTAGCATCAGACTTTTCTGTTTTTCCATTTACAAAATTAGTTTGTCGATGTTGCTGTTTTGCATTCGCTTTCCCCTTTTTTTGTTTTGGTTTGCCTCACTGAATTCACCATGCTCCTGTAATGCTCCTGTTAGGTTGTACAATTTCATGTTCATTAGGAAAGTTACATTTTGACCTGGATTTTTTTAAAATTATTTCTTAATGGCATAAACCACTGTAGTAACCACGCTACAAATCACAGCTGTGCCGAGGCAGGTTATGTTTGAAATTACAGTTCAACACATTTTTACCCATCAATAAAGTAAAAAGAGAAATCTAATCTGAAGGACATTTTATGTTGCCTTGGAAAGCAACGCAAACTATCCTTTCGCTTTCTCAAATAAGACTAATAATCTGTAAGAGAAATAAAAACAAATAAATAAAATCTTAACCACTCACCTCTAAAACAGAAAGTTTAATGTGCTAAAGTTTGTAGTTGATGATTTGTAAGAAACAAAAAATAACTGATTTCTCATCCTTTTTATTTGTTTCAGGCAATTCAAAAAATCACAGTAAAATTGAACATCCTTTTTAAGGATGTCCCGATACCACTTTTTCACTTCCGATACGATACCGATATTACAACTTTGAGAATTGTCCGATACCGATATTGACCCGTTACCATAACAGTACAAGTCACACACTTTTACCTATTATTTTGTAATGTAAAATCTTAGAAAAGTCTTGATCAAGTCAAACAGTGAAAAAGAGTAGGTATGAGAAAAACTGACCCATTTATTTTTAACCAATGGATCACATACATTTTAAACTGAAGAACATNTTTTTTTTACATTTTATTTAACCTAATAAAGGAATAAGCTACTGATTTTTCTGCCTGCCATTTGCCTGTATCGCCATTCTACTCTTCTTGGTTTTTAGTTTTTTTTTTTCTAAGAGCTGTAAATTCCAGGTTTAGTTTTGTTTTTGAATACATTTACAACATTGTTATTAAAAAAACAAACACTGCTAAATAGGGGTGTCCCGATACAATTTTTTCACTTCTGATATGATACCAAAATTGGCCGATACCAATATTTACCGATACTGATATTGATCTGATACCATATCAATACGAATCACACACTTTTACATTTTTTGTAGTGTGAAATCTTAGAAAAGTTTTGAACAAGTCAAACAGTGAAAAAGAGTAGGTATGAGAAATATTGACCCATTTATTTTCAACCAATGGATCACATACATTTTAAACTGAAGAACATACTACAATTTAATATAATAAATTATAATACCCTGAAAAATAAAACATAATAAAAACAAAATGTTCTTTTGAAATATAAAATAACAATTCAAAATCACTTCGGTTATTGTTTTACTACCTGTCAGCCTGGTGCTGCTTTATGGTGGGAATAACTGAAGGTGGGGACGAAACAAAAGCCCACATTATTGTCTGTTCAAAGTTAAGAGTCCACAGCTCCAATTTTACTGACTGTAACTAAAACAACATGATCATTGCACTTAATCTTCACTCAAAAAAGTGTGTAAACAGATTAAACATCACTCTAATAACAAGAGCAAAAAATAAATAGTAAGAATTAGTCAGTTATTTAAATTGATAGCTACCTTTCTTACTGCTGCATTTTCTGAGCATCATGTGGAGATTAGCCTCTCACTCCTGCAGGGAGCAGTTTTTATCACTGCTCTCATCATGTCGCTCATATTCCAAAACAAAAGCTGCGCTCTCCTTTCTTCTGTCCATCGACCCAGAGCTAATCCACGGGATGTCAAAACAAGCGTGCTGTCCTCGCTTCTGCCAGTTTAGAACCACTGACTGAGAGAGGAGGTTCCGAAACAGCGCGGCTGTGTGCGGTCACTGGACCGAGGCTGAACGAACCGAGCCGAAACGCAAAGCTGCTTCCAGGGTGGAGAGTAGTTGTCGCTCCGGTTTAAAACGTACACGGTTCTGTTCCCCCTCGGAAAACTTGTGCATGACAACTTTGCACTTAGCTGMAACTCTGTTTCTGATGAAAATAGAAAGTTCTGCCGACATTCTTGCTAACTTGTTAGCGCAGCATGTTGTTGTGATCACGTGAGCGCTACATGCTGGATCCAAGTGCTGCTGGATAGAGACACTGGAGTGGAGGCAGTGGACTGCTGGAACGGACTGCTAATATCGGAGCACTTATATCGAACATTTTTTATGCAGGCCGATAAAATCCGATACTCATTTTTTGGCTGATATCGGACCGATATCCGATATCAATATCCGATATCAATATCGGATCGGGACACCCCTAATCCTTTTATTGTAATCATTCTTTTAAAATATTTTATTTTTGGTGAAATTAGAAAATTCCTGTGTTCTGATATGTTGTGAAGCACTTTGTTGAGAGGCATAGAAAATGACTTTAAATACAGGCCCTCTCATGGGTTTAAGCTGTTTTTGTGGGGGTTTTGTCACCAAGGCCGTTAACAGCATCAGGGTTGCTGCTAAAAGAACAAGGCTGAAAGGTCTCGCACATCTAAGGGGGCTCAGATTCAGAAAGCATGTCTGAGTTTAAGTCTGGCATTGTTAGACCACTCAGCGGGGTCTCAATTCTTAGCTGTGATGAAGACAAACAAGAAGAAAGAGACTGGATCACAGTTTAGAAACATCTATCATTTTCACTTGAACATTTTTCATGCTACAGCGTATTTAATGAGACACCCCCCGACCCCCAAAAACCTAATTTCATTAGCTTCCAAGGAGAAAGATTTTCTGGTGATCAGTAGTCCTTTTGTGTTTCCTGAACGTCTTTCAAAATTAGTTTTATTGATCATTTTCAATCCAGTTTTTGACTCTTTTAAGGATATTTGTTTGTTTGTTTCTCATTAGCATTTTTAAACTGCCTACACTCACCTAAGACGAACAATGTCCTCTCGGCTACATTAAAACAGAAAGCCAAGCTCCCTGTTTTGACTCGATATGGAATAAAACGCTCCCTATATCTACCTCGGCTAGAATCAAAACAACCGCAGAAGCAACCAGACGAGCGTCTAACAATTACAATTTCAGTGTGTGTGGGCCAAAAAATTAGCCGTAGCT